ATCTGTCGATACTTATAGTTTGGCATTTCACAAGGTCATGTTTTTCTCTGACTGTTAATGTCATCTTTACCCTAAATCCATTGGAAGTTGGATGTGTACTGATTGATATTTTAGTCTTAGATACATGATTTTTTTCATAAGTTGTTATTGGCTTTGAACTAGCTGTCAGTAACTACGAGTTCTCTCAGATCTGTACTTGGTGTCGTTTTGGTTTTGGGATGTATAAGTACCCGTCCACGTCTACTTTGTGTTTTTGTTAGATGTATTTCTATTTGCATCCATCTGATGAGTTAAGCCTTTTTCAACTGATTTTTATAGTTTGATCTTATGTTGTACTGTTACACCACTGTCCCGGTTAGGGGGAGGGTTGAGCGCTCACAAACATGTTTAACGCCGCTACATTCTTTAAGTGCCATTCCCAAGTCAGTAACCTGTAGTTCAGTGGTTGTCGTTGGTTCATGTCTGTCATATTTGTTTTTCGTAAACTGGTTTGTTATAATTTAGGCCGTAAGTTTTTTCAATTGAATTGTTTCATATTTTACCACAGCTCCTTATTCTTATATAGATATGATTCTTAGACTGTCAAAATGTAGTCAAACTTAAGAATTCAACTGCCAGACTTGAATGTACAGTTCATGCTGGATCCAAGGACCAAACACTCAAGAAAATCATTTTAAAAACAAATTGTGATGCAACAGATGCATGTCATGATACATTCAAAAAGTGTTTTGTTTTTTTTTCGCTACTTTAGATATTTAATTTCGAAGCATGAATTTTAATTTAGATATTGATTTCGAAATTTGAATTTCGAATTAAATAATGAATCGCAAATTGTTTTGATGGAATATCATATATTCACAAATATTTCTGATATATAAACACATATCATTAGACAGAAGAAGAAGCAATAATTTCTCGTTATAATGTCCTCAACTGATTTTGAGTTCAATATTTTCAATATTTGACAGTAGTACTTCAATGAAGTCTGAATCATGTCCTACATCTGCTTCATCAATTATTTCCACTTTATTAGAATTGTCCACCAATTCATTTGTTTTCTTTAAAGTAAAGTTTCCAAATAAGATTCTGATCTAATTTGATGATAACCATTTTTTTGATGGACACATTTTATATGGAGTTGTTTTTAGGGCGATCGCAAATGCCTTCATAACGAGGTTTTTTTTAAGTTTTTGTTTTTTCCTTGCTCAAAAAAGCATACAATATAAAAATAAAAAGATGCGGTATTATAATAACGTCTCTTACAATTTTGGGGAAATTTTACAACTTTCTTGGACCTTTTCAAAACCCAGCCTTTATTTATCATATCCTCATGGTTTTCTAAGTTTATTTGGGAAATCTAACAAGCTGACTTTTACATGTACAATGTATGTCGAAACTTTCTGATCGAAACTTTTAAAATATATTTCTGTAAATTTAAAAATTATTGCAATATGAATAAAATGCTCCGCTGGGCGCAGCTTGATACGACCGCAGAGGTCGAACCCTGAACAATTGGGGCAAGTATGGACACAACATTCAAGCTTGATACAGCACTGAATTTGGATTGTGATTAAATATTTGACACAGCATAGGTTTCTGACACAGAATGAATGTGGTCTAAGAACTTAAATATTTTAATTTACCTATTCAAACCATATCATTATTATTTGCTTTTATATATAAATCAGAAATAACCAATTTAAAATGGAAAATTTTAAAGAAAAAAAAAGGAAAAAAATGAAAAAAAAATCCCTCTCCCAAATTTTTTGAACCCCCTTATGATTCATTACCCCTAAACTCAACCCCAGCTTTCCCTTTGTGATATGGAACCTTGTAGTACAATTTCATAAAGATCCATACACTTACACACAATTTATTGTCCTGAAACTAGAAAAATGCTTGTTTTTTATCCCTTTTTGGCCCCTAATTCCTAAAATTTTGAGGCAATTACCCCCAAAATCAATCCCAGTCTTCCCTTTGAGGTATGGTACCTTGCAGTACAATTTCAGAGGGATCCATACACTTACACACAAGTTATTGTCATGAAACTAGAAAAATGCTTGTTTTTTGCCCCTTTTTTGGCCCCTAATTCCTAAAATTTTGAGGCAATTACCCCCAAACTCAATTCCAGCTTTCCCTTTGTGATATGGAACCTTGTAGTACAATTTCAGAAAGATCCATACACTTACACACAAGTTATTGTCATGAAACTAGAAAAATGCTTGTTTTTTGCCCCTTTTTTGGCCCCTAATTCCTAAAATTTTGAGGCAATTACCCCAAAAATCAATCCCAGCATTCCCTTTGTGATATGGAACCTTGTGGTACAATGTCAGAGAGATCCATACACTAACACACAAGTTATGTCTGGAAGTTACAAAAATGCTTATTTTTGGCCCCTTTTTGGCCTCTAATTCCTTAACTGTTGGTACCATAACCCCCATAACCTTCCTTTTGTGGTATTGAACCTTATGGTAAAATTTCATAGAGATCCATTTGCTTAAACTAAAGTTAGAGTGCGAAAACCAATGTGTCTTCGGACGACGACGACGCCAACGTCATACCAATATACGGTCGTATAAAAACACAACAGATTTTCAATGTTACCCGTCTACTAAATTTTTCAAACTTGACCGGTTGTCTGAAGAAAGCTACTGCATAAATTTTATCCAAATTAGATAACGATTTATTATGCTAGAAAGTTTACAATCCGGACCGATCAGCTTGGACGGACGGACAGACGAACGAACAGCATTTATATATTTCCGGCCGCAATGTGATGCTGAGGGGAACAACAAGAACAGATATGGGGTATATGTCGAGGAGACAATATTTCATCTCAGAAGTTAACTAACTAAAAATGTACACCCAGAGGTCGCCACACAATCTGCAACAAACAGGAAAACCGACACCATGTAGTTAGCCCTATATGGCCCAGACTGTGACATGACCAAAGTTACATTTCATTTTTTGTACAATATTCAATATAATTTAAATTTGCTTTAATTAATCTCACATTTTAGACGGTCACCATGAATATGCAATAATATTACGCACATTACGTTCTGAATTCACAGTATTTCAAATTTTTCTGCATAAAGTCAGAATTCTACCAAATTGTCTTTGAATTTAATTACAACTAGGTAGAACCGTTTTAGTGAATTAAAACTAATGCCTCCCTTGAAGAAGTCATTCTGGTAAAAAAAAAAGATTGTCATTGCAAGTAATAATGTATGGTTAATGCGTGGAAATATGTACTGTTTTCCATATATATATTTACCAATTTATGAAACGAGGGGGTAGGGCATGAGGGACACAATATATTTTACACTTAATTGGTCTAGTCATGATATATTTATTAGAGTACATGGTTTAAGGGTGGGTATCTGAACAGATATATAAGGGACACGAACCACAGCAAAAACATATATGGTGTACTCAAAGGTGTTGTCTTGCTGATTGAGAATATATATATGATTTAGAGGTAGGGATATGAACATATTTCAAGCTATTTTACCATCAATGGTATGTAGGGGACAGAGCATGTCCCTCATGATGAACTAGAAAAGCAATTAGTATTAAATATGGGTTAAGGATGGAGTTCTGAACCCTTTTTTTAGATTAATCTAAATAACAATATTATTTTATGAGGGACGGGGCATGACCCCCAAGGACAAACCCTTAGCTGCACTGAAAAGGTCTTGCACGTTCTGTGGCCTATAAATTGCTTACTACCACTATATTTTAACTGACGTGGATAGTTGTCTCATAAGCAATCAGTCCACATATCTTCATTTTCATATTGACATGGTGGCAAGAAAGAATATGTTTGGTTTTAGGATGACATGAAATTAAATATTTGACCTTGACTTTTTATTTGACCTTAAAGGCCAAAGATAAAGGTCATCATCCATGGTACGCAACACATGATATTGAGGTGCAACGCTTGTGTGTCAAGTATTAAAAGACTGTCAAGGGAGAGGAAAAGGTATGCTCCAGACAAGAAAATGTAAAAAATCAAGTATTTTGACCTTGAGGTTTGACGGTACTAATTTTTATGAGATACACTGTCTTATTGTAATACACCTTCATGCCAAATATCATAAGCCAGTGTCAAAAGATAAATATGTTTTCATGATTAATTACACGGATTATTGTGAAAAATATGTGAAAATTACTCATTTTTATTTCGTTGCCATGGTAACGGTGTAGGAGACCCCGGCTCAAAAATCATAAAACTTGTAGCACACATGTTAAACTTCATAGAAATATTTAAAACATTAAAAAATGCATTGTACTTTACAAGATTTCCTGTCTTTTTGCTGATCTTTTTAGGAAGTATAAAAAAAATGTTTAAAATACACTTTTTAGACTAGTCAGCCCCAAAATATTGCTATACTCAAGCAAAAACATTTTGTCAAGTTTCGAAGGACGAATGATGCTTGTTATAAAAATCAACTCAAATATCAGCTAAACATAACCATATCTAGCATATTCAGAGTAACAAAATTGTGACATTTTTGTGGAAATTTTGGGAAATTAAGCCTTTTCCAATAGATGGCGCTGCAAAATCTAAAAATAGCCTTAAATCAAATTTTAAAGTTAGAATTTTTTTTCTCTTGACTATCATAACATATGTGAATCATTTCATTACATTTGGTTGACATGTCATGTGGACCCACTGTTTGTTAAGGAATCACAGTACTGTAGTTGTAGACTTGTCGCCGTCAATTGTAGGATTTGACGGTCGCAAACAGTTTTACTGGCAATGTAGAACTTACGGGATTATTTGAGACCTTGCTTTGGAAGTTGAGTCCAGCAATATGGCGACTCACTTCTTATTTACCACAGGTCAATTGTTGATTTAACGGCAAATTTCAGCCAATGAAAAAAATAGTTGCATAAAGATTGCATTAATATTGTGTATTATATATGTTTATGGGTACACATATTGCAATATAACAGTTCTAGATCCTCTTTCCAAAGATATAAATTATATTTACCTGTACTTGGATACAAAAGATCCATTTGTTTTCCGCTGATAATTTTATTCTTAAGAAGTTTGTTTTCAATTTTCGTTTTGCTTGTGGCCAATATGGTTGATAGTGAAGCTGGAGGGAAATGATGATCAAATTTTTCTCTTACTGCTTTAGGTGCAATGTTGCTAATCAATCTAAACATTCGAAGAAAATTATCCTCTTCTTCGGTTAAAGAACCTGTGTCACGTTTGAACAGTCTTGCCCATTTACAGATAAGCTCCTTTGCTGGTGCTGGAATATACTATGAAAAAAATGACCTTATGATTATTATATAAAGGTAAAATATGACCACATAAAACTTGAGATCTCCACAAAGCGAGACTAATATATGCAATTTTTAGTTGCTGTTGTGAAATTCAGTATTGAGACTGACATTTTGAGATTTTTTATTTTCAGCCATTCATTTTATATAATCATTGCCTCTATGTTAGATTGATAGATAGTTTCTGATGGATCAATCAAAAAGAATTATACGGACCCAGGAACAAATTCTGAGGTTTGTATACTGAATAATTAATGGTTCAGCCTGAGTCTTAACAAAGTCTGCTTTTTTGTTGTTGATATTGCAGTTGCGTAGTGATAGAATTACGGATGGAAAGTGTTTTTCTATAGAAATAAAAGAACAGAGTTCCAATGTCCCCACGTTGCACATATATTTTTTTTTATCCATGATACAAGGGTAATAACTAAAAAAGCACTTTTTAATTGTTCAATAACATTTTTTTATTAATATCTTAGAGAAATGAAGGCTTCAGAACAAATGAATTTCCATCATAATTAATATTTCCAAGGGGCCTACTGACTCGTTAAAAATATTTGATCAAAATTTTCAAAAGTGTCAAAGATATTGCTGATATAAACCTATGATATAAGTTTCATAAAGTTCTAGCAAGAATTGTACTAATGAGAGCGCTAAAAATGCAGTTCCACATATAAACAATATTTCCAAGGGGCATAACTCTTTTAAAAATCATTGATCGGCACTGATTTTCAAGCTCATTCAAGACATGGATGCTATAAAGGTATAATATAAAATTCATAAAAATCTGGCAAGAATTGTACATATCAGAGCACTCATAAGGCAATTTTCCATATAATTAATATTTCCAAGGGGCATATTTCTTTTAAAAATAATTGATCAGCACTTATTTTCGATCTCGTCAAAGACATTGCTGATATAAACCTATGATTTAAATTTCCGAAAATTCTGTCAAGAATTGTATACATTAGAGCGCTAATAATGCAATTTTGCATATAATTATTGTTTCCAAGGGGCATAATTCTTTTTAAAATACTTGATCGGCACAGACTTCCAAACTCGTCCAAGACATTGCTGATATGAACCTATGATATAAGTTTCATAAAAATCTGGCAAGAATTGAACAAATGGGAGCATTAACAATGCAATGTTTCCATATAATCAATGTTTCCAAGGGGCATAACTTTTAAAAAAAAAAAATTGAACAGGACTGAGTTTGGAACTTGTCAATGACACTGCTAATATAAACCTATGATATTAGTTTCATAAAAAACTGGCAAGAATTATACACGTGATAGCGCTAACAAGACCAGACGGACGGATGCCCGGTGTCATATGGTATTTTGAACCCCCTGAAAAGTGAACCCGGGGTCAAAATACCATATGGAAAATTGACCCCGGGGTCATTATACCGCATGGTATTTTGACCCAGGGGTCATTTTTCCCATATGGTATTTTGAATCCCACCATGGAAAATTGAACCCCCCTGTTTTAGATAAATAGTATTGCAGATTATCTAATGTACAATATGTTGGCTATGTTATTTTTAAATTGGAGGTCTAGAGTAGGGGGTTCAATATACCATGGCTAAATAAAATTTTCAAAACATCTTTTCCAGCATGTTAAATACATACATACTACTTATTGGACTATTATAACTATGTAAAGGAATTAGAATAGCCAGAATTTTTGAAATTAGAGGTCTATAGTAGGGGGTTCAATATATCATGGCAGGGGGGTCAAAATACCATGGCTAAATAAAATTTTCAAAACATCTTTTCCAGCATGTTGAATACATGCAAACTACTAATTGGAGTTTTATTACTACATAAAGGAGTTAGAATAGCTAGAATTTTTGAAATTAAAGGTCTATAGTAGGGGGTTCAATATACCATGGCAGGGGGGTCAAAATACCATGGCTAAGTAAAATTTTCAAAACATCTTTTCCAGTATGTTAAATACATACAAACTACTAATTGGACTATTGTAACTATGTAAAGGAGTTAGAATAGCTAGAATTTTTGAAATTAAAGGTCTATAGTAGGGTGTTCAATATACCATGGCAGGGGGGGTCAAAATACCATGGCTAAGTAAAATTTTCAAAAACATCTTTTCCAGCATGTTAAATACATACATGCTACTTATTGGACTATTATAACTATGTAAAGGAGTTAGAATAGCTAGAATTTTTGAAATTAGAGGTCTATAGTAGGGGGTTCAATATAGCATGGCAGGGGGCTCAAAATACCATGGCAAAGTTAAATTTTCAAAACATCTTTTCCAGCATGTTGAATACATACAAACTACTAATTGGAGTATAATTACTACATAAAGGAGTTAGAATAGCTAGAATTTTTGAAATTAGAGGTCTATAATAGGGGGTTCAATATACCATGGCAGGGGGGTCAAAATACCATGGCTCAGTTAAATTTTCAAAACATCTTTTTCAGCATGTTAAATACATACAAACTACTTATTGTAGTATAATTACTATGTAAAGGAGTAAGAAGAGCTAGAATTTTTGAAATTAGAGGTCTATAGTAGGGGTTCAATATACCATGGCAGGAGGGTTAAAATACCATGGCTAAGTAAAATTTTCAAAGTATCTTTTCCAGCATGTTAAAGACATACAAACTACTAATTGGAGTTTTATGACTACATAAAGAGTAAGAAGAGCTAGATTTTTTGAAATTAAAGGTCTATAGTAGGGGGTTCAATACACCATGGCAGGGGGGTCAAAATACCATGGCTAAGTAAAATTTTCAAAACATCTTTTCCAGTATGTTAAATACATACAAACTACTAATTGGACTATTATAACTATGTAAAGGAATTAGAATAGCTAGAATTTTTGAAATTAAAGGTCTATAGTAGGGTGTTCAATATACTATGGCAGGGGGGGTCAAAATACCATGGCTAAATAAAATTTTCAAAAACATCTTTTCCAGCATGTTAAATACATACAAACTACTAATTGGAGTTTTATTACTACATAAAGGAGTTAGAATAGCTAGAATTTTTGAAATTAGAGGTCTATAGTAGGGGGTTCAATATACCATGGCAGGGGGGTCAAAATACCATGGCTAAGTAAAATTTTCAAAACATCTTTTCCAGTATGTTAAATACATACAGACTACTTATTGGACTATTATAACTATGTAAAGGAGTTAGAATAGCTAGAATTTTTGAAATTAAAGGTCTATAGTAGGGTGTTCAATATACCATGGCAGGGGGGTCAAAATACCATGGCTAATTAAAATTTTCAAAAACATCTTTTCCAGCATGTTATATACATACATACTACTTATTGGAGTATTATTACTATATAAAGGAGTTAGAATAAGCTAGATTTTTTTGTAATTAGAGGTCTTTAGTAGGGAGTTCAATATACCATGGCAGGGGGGGTCAAAATACCATGGCTAAGTAAAATGCTGGAAAAGATGTTTTGAAAATTATACTTAGCCATGGTATTTTGACCCCCTTCTATAGACCTCTAATTTAAAAAAATTCTAGCTTTTCTAAGTCCTTTACATATTTATAATAGTCCAATAAGTAGTATGTATGTATTTAACATGCTGGAAAAGATGTTTTTGAAAATTTTAATTAGCCATGGTATTTTGACCCCCCTGCCATGGTATATTGAACACCCTACTATAGACCTTTAATTTCAAAAATTCTAGCTATTCTAACTCCTTTACATAGTTATAATAGTCCAATAAGTAGTATGTATGTATTTAACATACTGGAAAAGATGTTTTGAAAATTTTACTTAGCCATGGTATTTTGACCCCCCTGCCATGGTATATTGAACCCCCTACTATAGACCTCTAATTTCAAAAATTCTAGCTATTCTAACTCCTTTATATAGTAATAATACTCCAATAAGTAGTTTGTATGTATTTAACATGCTGGAAAAGATGTTTTGAAAATGTTACTTAGCCATGGTATTTTGACCCCCCTGCCATGGTATATTGAACCCCCTACTATAGGCCTTGAATTTCAAAAATTCTAGCTATTATAACTCCATTATATAGTTATGATACTGCAATTAGTAGTTAGTATGTATTTAACATGCTGAAAAAGATGTTTTGAAAATTTTACTTAGCCATGGTATTTTGACCCCCCTGTCATGGTAAATTGAACCCCCTACTATAATCCACTAATTTCAAAAATTCTAGTTATTCTAACTCCTTTACATAGTTATAATAGTCCAATAAGTAGTATGTATGTATTTAACATGCTGGAAAAGATGTTTTGAAAATTTTACTTAGCCATGGTATTTTGACCCCCCTGCCATGGTATATTGAACCCCCTACTATATACCTCTAATTTCAAAAATTCTAGCTATTCTAACTCTTTTACATAGTTATAATAGTCAATTAAGTAGTATGTACGTATTTAACATGCTAGAAAAGATGTTTTGAAAATTTTACTTAGCCATGGTATTTTGACCCCCCTGCCATGGTATAATGAACCCCCTTCTATATACCTCTAATTTCAAACATTCTAGCTATTCTAACTCCTTTATATAGTAATAGTACTCCAATACGTAGTTTGTATGTATTTAACATGCTGGAAAAGATGTTTTGAAAGTTTTCCTTTGCCATGGTATTTTGACCCCCCTGTCATGGTATAATGAACCCCCTACTATAGACCTCTAATTTCAAAAATTCTAGCTATTCTAACTCCTTTATGTAGTAATAAAACTCCAATTAGTAGTTTGTATGTATTAAACATGCTGGAAAAGATGTTTTGAAAATTTTACTTTGCCATGGTATTTTGACCCCCTGCCATGGTATATTGAACTCCCTACTATAGACCTCTAATTACAAAAAAATCTAGCTATTCTAACTCCTTTATATAGTAATAAAACTCCAATAAGTAGTTTGTATGTATTTAACATGCTGGAAAAGATGTTTGAAAGTTTTACTTTGCCATGGTATTCTGACCCCCTGCCATGGTATATTGAACCCCCTACTATA